TTTAAATAAAATGAGATTGCTTGGAAAGAAATCATACATTAATCAGAGGTGACTTCAAACAATAATTGTTTAATCAATTAGTAAAATGCCTAATATAAAGGAAAATGAAACACCTTKAATCAAAAGTTACGTTTTAAAAACTGCCCATCAACTTCTAATGTTATTARGAAAAACAAAAGAAAAAGTCAGAGGTTTGGAGCACAATAACCAAACAACCAAAGTTGGTCAGCATTTTATGTTATAAATCATCCATTATCAATGTTAGTCATACATGAACAGTCAGTGTTAAATCACTGATCATTATGTGTCGTTTGTGTTGGAAACCAGAGCAAATATCACAGTTTGATCACTAATTCTCAAAGGACAGCAAGGTAACATCTGGACCATCTGGGGCTCTTTGCCTCTCAGGTCCTTCCTGTTTAAGACTCTGAAGGAGCTGATAAAGTTGTTGGTTTAGGGTTGCCAGACTCAGTTTGAAACCCAGACAGGTGAGGTGAACCTGCTGAATGTGAAGYGTCATTAAGCATGCTTTCAGTCTTAGGTGAGAGCAGAGTGGCAGCTGATAATTTGGCCCCTGCGGCTGATGGGTCAGTCAGAACTTCTAGTCTTGTTGACGTCGGGACCGAGCTTTGGACCTCTGGTATCAGATCAGTCCCAGAGGGAGGGAAACCAGGAGGTGGGGGTGAATTTAAAGGGGTTTGAAATGCCGGCGAGGCGTCCACGTTCGCGGCCTCRACGTCTGCGGGCGGTGCCGCTGCAGCCGCTGCTGCCTTTGCATTCTCTGCAGCCTTGCTCTCCATCTCCTCCATCCGGCGCTGCACCATGCGAGGCATCAGCTGCACGTAGGTGCCCATCAACCGGTGGTTGGAGCGAATCAGCTTCCCCGCACAGCTGTCCACACAGCGCTCCTGGATGCACAACAGTAGTCAGTTTTAATTCTGATGATCCACTACAGCATGTCCAGGTAAAMCTGGAACACTGAGTAAAATGTAAATAAAAACAGAATATAATGAAGCCAGCCTCTCTGATGGTATGGAGGTACATTACTGCCCTATATAACGTTTTTGATACATAAATACAACACAGGATTGCCAATAACCTGGTGAAAAGCAACAACAGTAGTGTTCGGACCATGACACCGATTAAATTGAATAACTATAACAGCTTAAATGGATATGCAAAATTAAACTGAGGGATTTTCGCTGTACCTCGTCCATTGTGAGGTTCCTGTAGTTGAAGTTGCTCGTGCACCGCTGAAAGCAGATTTCTGTCATGCGGTTGTAAACCAGGAGGAAATCCTTCAGCTGCAACAAGACATTCACGAATTATACAACTATATTTATTTACAGATGAGCCTAATGTAGTTGTCACTTACGTTTCTCAGCTGTTGGTCGGCATCCATCGTTATTCCGCCCGTGTTACTGGTCAGCCTGTTCAGCTAACCCCTTAACATGAGACCTGCTCCCCTTCCGAATACAGTAAATTTAGGTTTTACCAGTTCGTAACCCTTTTAGGTGGAACAGGAAATAAATCCACAAGATAATACTAAAACGTCTGCTTAAACGTTTTAACAATTTCAATAAAAAAAGAGGTAATTTAAGCAGTGAATGCGTGTGGCATGACATTCACATGCGCGCCGCCATGTTAGCAACAAAGATCGTGTCTGCATGCGAAGAGGTCTCACTCGGCGCTTGGTAGGTTGACAGAAAGTTGGGTGCGGGTGTAGTGAATATATTATGTTTTTCATATGCAGAAACGCATRAGAAGAATTACTTTTAATAGATATGGACCATTATTTTTGAGTTTTTTTCCTAGTACAAAGTGTTTGAAATACTTTGAAAAACACAAAAGGTGTTTTGAACTTGTTGAAATTGAACCTTCCTTTTTTTTTTTTTTTTTACCTGTCAAAGACTGAGTTATGCCCTGTGATCATGTCAAGTGATTTCAGGCATCACTATGGATGAGAAATATTTCTGGAAGCAAAAGCAATGYATTTTCTGGAAGGTTTTGAGGTCAAAAACACTCAACCACAAAAATAATATTTATTATATAGCAAGAAGGTCAGTAATGATCGCACTACTTCAGACTGTGAGGCTGAATTGTTCTCAGTAATCAGTGTTTTTTTCTGTGTTTGAACAAAAACAAACCTCTTTGCTGATCTGTGAAAGACTGCAAAGTGAAAGTCTGTCACTAGTTATTTTAGGCTATACTGTGAATGCAGCCTCASCTGTAACAATCCTTTTAAGTGGTTAACATGACCAGAGCAGTGCTATTTTCAAAGGACTGAGGTTAAAAACAAAACAAAAGCTAAATGCAGTCAGTTTTCTTATGGCCAAACCAGGGGCTCCGTAACTTCTGGGGGTAATTTCAAGATGATCTTCTTTAACAGTGCACMGTATTAGAAAATAGTCACCATGTGGGGATTAAAACACCAACAAAAATGTAATTGTTTACTATTCCACATCCAGCTGGGAATTTCTTTTACCAACTATCTCACGCTCCCCTTCCTCATTTCTTGCTCTTTGCTGGCTAACTAGTTCAAAATGAAACAGAATACCTGTTATTTCTGCAGGCAACACGACATTAGAGCCATTACAAAGAGAAAGCAAGGCTACATACAGTATGGTGCTGTGATGACTGCAACCAAAACTGTAGAAAATGAAATGTTCTTTAGTTCTCTTTAAGCTCAAACAACAAAACTATTGTAGTGTAATGTCAAATGCTGCCTGATTTATTCTGAAAGAAATTGTTTTATAAGMCAGAGGATTTCAAAGTCGCCCAATGAAAGTCGTTTGTAGACTTTAAAAATGCTTTAWAGAGCAGAATCATGTTCATTTGTCATGTTAAACAATTTCTTTTGTTTCGAACCAGCCTTCACAGCTGCAGGTTATTAGGGTTCTTGATGCTCCAAACCATGACAGAAATAAAAAAAGAGTGTCACTGTAGCAGTCATGACTCATTTTCTTGACATATGCTTTTGTGTTTGTAAAAGAAAAAAAAAGACAAAACTATTTTTTTTAACCATCATCTGTGTAAAAAAAAAAACTTTAAAAGCTTTAGCTTTAGGGATGGATCCTGTGCTTTGGAGCATTCATTGTCAAAACTGCTGGCCGTCTTTTYAAGTGTTGTTTACATTTATTTACAAAAAGGCTGTTATTTAGTCCCTGTTCAGCTTCAACATTGTCTCCCTTGAAACGACAGTGCAACAGTTACCATGAGTGACTTTTTGCCAGTTTTTTTGCAACCTCTAAGTAAAATTGCAGTCCAAAGATTACACACAAAATGCTTCAGGCCCACAATTTTATCTATAACATTGAAAGTAGGTCATCATCAATTTTTGAAAAGCTGTCAATCGAGTGCTGGAGGCTGTTAAGTTCACATCAGAGTTCAGATCTGTCAGCAGAGAGGCCAGTAAATTATTACGCAGACACAGTTTATGCTCTTAAATAGGAGCATTGGGTCACAGATTAAAAACATAACGACCTTTATCATCATGAAGAATTGAAAATTAAAACATGGGAGTGGGGGATAAAACAGCACACTCGAGTCCCATTTACAGACAGTTTGCATTTTATTTATTAGTCTTATTATAAAAAAGATTTAGAAGCAGGTTCATACATTTAAATAAAGTTTTAATCAAACAGCGTTGTGGAAAGTTTTTTTTCCTTCACACCTGCTGATAGAYGAGACATCAAAGGAGTGAAAGTTCTTCTGTCCTGTGATGATTTTAGGTTTTCCCTGAGTTTTGCAATAAATTAACGTTCCATGTGGTACTTCATCTCTAAATGTCAGACACACACACGCACACACTTTTTTTTGTCCACCCCCACACACTTTATTATGACCTCTCACAGAAGGGCACACTCATTGCTCCAAGCAGTCTTAAGCTAGTTTGTCTGCATCAAGGAGGAAATTGCTCAACTCTGCAAAGCTTAAAAGGAATATGAAACACAAGTTATAATTTTTTTCCCAGCAAAATACAAAATAGTTTGTCTTTTTTTTTT